TGAAATCCAAAGAGAGATGAAGATGGAGAATCAATAACAAAATAAAAGAAAAATGACTTAGTCTCAAGCAAGTGACTAAATCTCAATGTTTAAATCTACTCAGAATTTGGCAACGGCGCCAATTTAAAGTTAGGAGTTTTCAAGGCTCCTAAGACAAATGTTGTAGTATAAAAGATTGTCGAACCAATTTAAAGATGGTCGCTCTGGGCTGGTCACTCTGGCTGGAGCGACTTGAGATAGTCGCTCTGAGCTGGTCGCTCTGAGCTGGTCGCTCTGGGTGGGAGCGACCTTGGTAGGTCGCTCTGAGAGGTCGCTCCAGGATGCTCGAACAGGGTGGATATGCCTCTAGTAAATTGGTCATAACTCCTTCATTACATCTTCAAATGACTTGAAACCACTTCCATTAGAAAGCTAACTCAATTTTCTGTGTCTACACAATAGAATATTTCTTTAAAGGCTCCATCTATGCTCATCTTTTACCCCCTTTTGGATCACAATGCTCCCAAACATCTCAAATCACTCCATGGCAAACTCCATGATAAGGGTTTTTCAAATTTTATAGCTAATCAATGTAGTAAGGCAAGTAGAGTGTCAACCCAATCCTGAGAGATATTGAACAAAGAGAATGCAAGACATTGCTAAATGCAATCAGTGAGGGTTTGTTTTATAAGTAACTAGTAACAAGCTATATGTAAACAAGAATAACTAAGCTTTGGTTTAAATGAGATAAAAGAACTTATGGGTAAAGTATTGACTTTGGGTGATCAAGTTACTATCTAGGGTGAGGTTTCAAGCAATCATTCATATCCTATAGGTTTAGACACAATCCTAAGCTAGTCCTTGGTCAAGGTAAAAGCTCATTTGCTATCAATCTCTATACACAAATGGTCATTGGTCTAAATCAATCAAGCAATCATTGAGAACAAGTCTACTAACCATCTAAGCCTTCCTAACATGAAGTGTCCTTGGTTAAGCAAGCAAAAAGCATTATTACTTTGGTTCAGGAATTTCATCATACACCTTGTGGGCATGAAATGCCTAATGATCTAGTTTAGAAGGATCAGGTCTAATCTAGCATTGAGAATAAGTAATAAGCATAGGACAAGAAGGATCTAACAGTAATCACCCTAGATCATCAATTAATCACCCTAATCAGCCTAACCCATAAGCTCAAAGAGAGTCTACTCACTAATATTCATGTTTAATCTTAAATCCATGATGGATAGAAGACTAACATGATTAGAAGAAGAGATAAACTCCAAATTACTCAAGAAACAAAGATTATATTAATCAACGATTCAACTTTCCAATGTGTTTTTGAGAGAAAAGAAAAAAATGAGTTCTAAACTTAGGTCTCCAATGTATTTATAGAAGCCTAAAAACGAGCACAAAAGTTGGGTTTTTTCGTCTGTAGCGACATGCTCGTAACGACATGCTCTGGTCGCTACAGAACATAGAATTTTCTGGGAATTTTCTCGTAGCGACATGCTCTGGTCGCTACAGTGGCCGCTACAGACTCTCCGCGCTCTTCCTAGCGACATGCTCTGGTCGCTACAGGGTTGATATGCCTCCAGTAGATAGATCATAACTTCTTCAATACAGCTCCAAATGACTTGAAACCACTTCCATTAGAAAGATAACTCAATTTCCCATGTCTTCCCAAAATATGGGCTTCAAAAGATATTTTAAGGTCTCCATCCATGTTCATCTTTAACCCTCTTTTGGATCACAATGCTCCCAAACACCTCCATTCACTCCATGGCACACTCCAATATCTAATAAGGACATATGAATGCAATATGGACCTAAAGATGTCTAAACCTTAATCTATGGGATGATTTATGTACAAAATGAAATGCTAAAACTATGCAAATATGCCTCATATCACTCCAACACCTGATAAAGACTCATGTATGCAAAATGCAACCTAAAATGACTAAATCTTAATCTATATGATCAAAATGCACATAGATAAATGGGTGAAACAATGAAAATATGTAAGACATCAATAATAATGTTTTGTATGTTTCAAAGCCTTTAACTTTGTTGATATCTTTAACGATGATAATTTCTTATATACGTATAACAATGATTTTGACACTATTGTCATTATCGATATAACCAAATATGTTATTCTTAATTATGATATGACAAAGAGTGTTTTAAGTTAATGGTGATAATGTTTAAAATTATTTATTTTTGTGAAAATATTTAATAGCCTTTATATGTTTTAAATTTTTTTTTTAGTTTGCAAAATTTTCAATTTAAAAAATTTGAAATTTTAAGTAAATATTTTGCTTTTTTCAAATTCAATTTTAGAAAATTTTCTGTATTTTTCTAATTTTATTTAGGGTTTTTATTGTTAATTGCATTTATTAATTAATAAAAAATTTAAAAATCAACATGTGACCTACTATTGCAGGTTAACAAGTCACAATTTTAACTTGATGAACAAGTAAACCAAGTTGAAGGTTTTTTGTGATACAAAAGTCAAGTTGAATGTTTAATATGCTAATTAAATAATTTCAAGGTTTAAAGTGTTAGTGAGTGTCACTTTAAAGGTTTTTTATGCTATTTTCCCGTTTTTAAACCCGAACTAGACGCTGAATTGGATTACTCTCTAGGTCATTAGGTCAATGAGTCAACCACTGTTAACTATGAATCAATAGATTAATAAATTGTAATATATATGAATATAATGTTATTAAGCATTGAAAAATATAAGATGATATCAAGTTCTATACAAAATATAATCAATATTCAAAAAAAAAATTATTATAATTTGCATCCACCATAAAATAAATTATTTTATCAAGTTTTAATAACCAATATAAACTTTGGCTAAAAATAAGATAATAAATAATTAAATGAAAATATTATAAAATTATTTGTTAAATCATAACTATAAACTTATAATAGATTTTCAATAACGAACAGAAAATAATAGTCTAACAATGTCATTGGCATAAATTTTAGTTTTTTTTTGTTATCATTTTCTTCGAATAATGTTATACAACATTCATCAAATTCCAAAGAATCACAAATCTTATCTTTTATTTAATTTTTTATAATATTAAAACCCATTTTATAGAAATCGTTAGGAGCTAGTCGGGCGGTCGGGTTGGGCCTAGCGCCTAACGAAAAATCGGCGATTAATCGGAAATTATGCGGACGGAATTTTTAACTTTATTTGTATATATATTGAATAACTGAATTGAATTTTCAAAAAGCTAAAGTGGTCCAGTGGCCACCGTCATAGAACTTCCTAGAGTTGGGCGGGGTTCGAATCTCGGCTGCCTATTTGTTCTTGTCATTTTCTAATCTCAGCTTTAACTAGAGCTGGACCCGTCCGACCGGACGGGTATTTATTTATTTTGTATATAAATGAATATATTTAAATGTCTATCCGTTAATATTTTTAAATATTTATCATTATTAAACTTTTGAAAAATTAATATTGACCAATTGATAGTTTGAATAGTATTTCTTGTAACATGATATTGTTTGCCAAATGTAAAAAGAATTTAAATATTTTGATCAGATATGGATAATATGGTAAGATTTAGATACGTTATAAAAAAGAATATTTGGTTATAAACATTAAACATTGTTTTACAAGTAATTCAATATTTCAATTTCAGTATTAAATTTTCTTGTTGAAAATAATTAATAGCAACCAAAATGGTAAAACATATATTTTATAAATTCTTGAAAAATATATAATCTTAGGTGAGACTTAACTATATTAAAATAATATTCAGTTACAAATAGTTCATGTTGTTTATAAGTAGTTTAAATATATTTAAAATCTTATTGTTCAAAATAATTAATGCTAAGTTAAACATATATTTTAGGAATATTCATCATACTTTTTTTAATTTCGAATTTAAACTTGAGTTTTGTTCAAAATAATCAATGGTAACGTTATACAAATTTAATATTGTTAAAATCGATTTTAAATATGAATATTCCTAAAAATCAGCTAGTTTATTTTAGGGAATATATTAAACACAAAAATTAAGCTAAAATTGATTTAGGAAATTGTTTAATAAATAGGAAAAGACAATGATTACTTACATATAAGTTCATTTAATTACTTCAATGGCATGCTATTGTAAATAAAAGTGAAATCTAAGGGGTATTTTATATGGGTACTTCTCTTTTAATAATATAGATGAAAGATAAAAATGACATTTTCTTTTCTTCTTCCTTTCCTATGAACACCTCCGTAAACCTAAAGATGGCGGACACCTTTTTGTCATTTTCACAACATCCGATTTTGTGGCCGATTACAGTCTAATCCCGGCGGCTCTGGTCCGCCACGCGACTTTCCGGCGACTATGCGGTCCTAGGCGGCGCGTTTTAGAACAGAGATTGAAACTGTATGAAATTTTAATCAAACTTTTTTTATAAATATTATAAGAAAATATGAGATTTTTACCGGGTTAACTAGTGCTGAATTACGCGTTAATACCGGTTTTTGGGTCTTTACCAAATTTTATCGGATCTTTAATTAATGGATTTTTAGTTAAATCTGAACCAGATTATATATGGGTCACCAGATTTACTTGTTCAATCACTTAAAACTTGTTCAATCGCTTAAGAAATACCAATGGTTTTACCAGTGTTTTCATACCTGATCCAGATGCATAGATTAACGACATCTTGATATAATACTCTACTAGGATTTATAAATATATGTATCTGATATGGCTGTCTTCGTCAAATAACATGTTTGAATTAAAGGCTTATTAGTTAGGTATATATAAATAGCTGTTTCACGGGTGATGAGACCAAAATGGACAATCTAGTGTTTTTTTGTTCTATATTTACTAATTTTCCATTTATCAAAGAATGTTTTGGCACTGCATCACCTTCAAATTATTTTTATTTCCTTCAATGTAAATCAATTTGTATGTGGTATAAATTTTAATACGTCGATTTGTTGTTATTGTTACATAGTTCACGTTATTGTAAAGTAGATTCAAAATAAAAGTACTTAATTAATAAAGTTCAAGCTAAATTACAAAATTATACCTAAATCAATAACTAGTTTAACACAGAAAGTTTGAAAGATGGAAGAAAGATCTATTGATCAACCCAAAGGTTAAAAGACACCATCACGTACCTATAAATTTATAATACATGCGAAAAACAGAGAGGGTACTTGGACAGAGTGAATGCTCATGTTTTGTTTTCCTGTGGACTTTCTGTGACATTCTTCTGTAAAGCTTCTTCGACATTTGGTGCTGTGTTCTGTTGTTGGGAATTATCTGTGTTGGGCTGCAAAGGCAGAGGCTGGGGTGGTGAGTTCTCTGTCTGAGATGCTGAATTCTCCTCTTGTGATGATGGTTCCACGGTAGTCTTTAGGTCTTTATCTTGCCAATTCGCGGAGACAGATCCTTCAGTGACATCTTTGCTCGGATCTTCTTGGTTCTCTTGTTCCGGAGGATTAGGAGTCTCTGAATGAGGTGTCTGTTCTGAAGTATCATCACAGTCAACTTCGTTTCCTACAGAATCTTGTGATTCATCATTAGTATCATCAACTGCTTGATTCATAGATGCATTTTCAGCTTCAACCGTTTGACTTATAGCTGCTGCATCTTCAACTTTTACTGTTTGACTTACAGCTGCTGCACCTTCAACCTCAACTGTTCCATCCGTGGCAGTTGGTTTTGCTGTCTCAGGACGTGGCATTGCCTCTTTATTAACCTTCACAACCATTTTCTCTGCGGGCGACTGAACTTCCGCTGTAGTAGAAGGCATTTTTGCTGTAGTGGCGCTTCTCATAACGCGTCCATATTTAGGAGGGAAAGACTTTCCACTGTACAACTGCACACATCTTGAGCAATGCCATTCAGATTTGGGAACACCTTTTATATTGTTAGTTTGCAGACATTTCAAGTGATATCCCTTTTCACAGGCATCACAAATTAGCAGTGACTCTACTTCGTTGATGGTTCCTTGACACATCTGGCATGCCATTGCTTTGCTCATATACTCTCTTGAAGGTGGCTTCCACGAGAGATTTTGTTTAGCCCGCGGTTGCAGAACCTTGTGGATTACCTTAGCGATTTCAGCATGGTGGTTGTTTGCAAAAGGTGAAGAGGTCTGGCCAGAAGTCACTCCTTTCATCCCTGGGAATGCACCTGGCTGAGTTTGAGGCATGAATGGTCTAAAGCTTGGATCTGTGACTCTTGAAGAGCTTGGAGGATGAACTTTGCTATCTGATGGAGTTCCAAATGATATGGTGGAGGAACTGGGATGAGCTTGGGCAGACCAAGATGCAGCAGCAGCATTCCCAAAATAATTTCCAGCAGGAACTGCTGCTTCAAAAGAAAGAAGTAATAGTTTAGAGGTATATTTGTCCAAAAAATGACATGAAACCAGTTTCGAACATAAACTGAGAAAATCTAACATACGTTTCAAATTTCAAGAGAGCAAAACATAAACGATGAACACTAAACAGAATCAGAGAGGATACGCAAAGGCATAAAGTAGCAGTAAGATTTTATAGATAACATAACTTCAAAAACCAAACAATGGGTAAGTGGCACTATGGGGACCTTCATTAAGTTTGTGAACTTGTAATGCATACTATATAATATAGCCATAGCAAATGACCCGAAAATCCACCATGCATTCTTCGAGCAGATGAGAGATCTTGGCAAATAATATGAGGACAGAACAAGGTACGTACCTGGTCCCTGCGTATGCACAGCTGGCTTAAACTGTGGTCTTATCCCTGATGCATCCTTAACGAAATGGGTTCCACTTGCAGTAGCAGATACATTCATATCGCTATTAACCCACTGCTTTCCCATAGAAACATTACTTGCTGCAAGCAAAAAGAAAAAAACATAGAATGAAGAAAGATTGTGATGACTCCTCCTGAGGCTAGTAGCAAAATGTCATTACCAGGAGTTAAATGAAGTGGAGGTGTATAGGTAGTGGATACAACTGTATTCTTCTTGGCTTCTTCCATCTGAAGAGACAAAAACATATATCATAAAAATCAAGACTTTAATACATTAAAGAGGCAATTAAAAGGGCACAAACCTTTCTCTTGCCAAGAGATAGCTTCTCGGAGATGGTTAACTTAGGTGCTCGGAACCCTAATCTCTGATCCTTGAGCTTACCGTTCAAACCCAGATCTTCGATCACAGCTCCGATAGCATCTCTACCGATGAGATCCTTTGGAGAAAACTGCTGACACATGTCTACCAGCTTCGATTTGGCTTCAACCATCAGCTCAAGCTCCAATTCCGTCGGGGTCTTCCCTCCTCGGATCCTCCGTAGTGAGGACAAGACGAGGACTATCTCCGCTACTCTGTTCACTTCCTCGTCGAATCGCGGCTTCTTAAATGCAGATTCTCCATCTCCTCCACCCATTGCCCAAGTTGTTTCCACGGATTCCGGATTCGTCATCGGCACATCCGTAGCCGCCGCATCCATCTCCAACGTGAAAGACAGGAGATGCGAAAACCCTAAGAGAAAGAAGAGGGTTCTCTCAGAGTTTTAAAAATAAAATACACAAACCTAATTTTCGCGGGTAAAAATTTGGGGGAAAAGATTTGAGAAGAAAAGAAAGACGCGCTACGAGACGATTTACAAATGAGATTTGCAGCCGAAGAAGAGCGAGAGATGACGGAGCGTCTCCTTTTGGCTGCTCCTATTTCCCTACACAGATCATTACTGACTTTATTTATTTAAAGGGCTCTATGTTCTATTTTGTTTGGGCTTTGATTTGGGCCTTTATAAATTTGTCTCTTTTTATGGTGTTGCCCCACGGGTTTTTTTTTCTCTTTTTTTATTTGTTCTAAATGCAGGCTATTATTTTTGAGGCAGCTTATTCATTCATGCGCACAAAGACCGAGGCCGACTTGTGGGCGCTTTATTGGGTAGTGGAATGTCTGCACAACCTACACTTCTCGGATATTATTTTTGAGACCTCATCGGAGTGCTTACATGAAGCTATGACAAATCCACTTGCACACCTTAGCCTCAGCCACATTCGTCACAGCATCCTCTGGCTTCTGACAAGAATTGATTCATGGAGTTTGGATCATACTCTTCAAGAACGAAATGAAGCAGCAGCGGCCATTGCTCTCAGTGTCACTCGAGATAGGCGTCATCAGTCATATATCGCTCGGAATGCGCCATCTTGGTTACATCACCTTCTCGTTTTGGAGGCTAAGTAAGTACGAGAGTGGGTAAATCTTGTTTCTCTCGTGTTTGGTGTTATGATGGTGTCTACTGACATCTCATTTTTCTGTTATTTGTTTTTTTCATTCTTGTTTACCCTCGAACTTTAAATCTTAATCAGTGTTAAAAAAAAAAAATGCAGGCTATATTGGAAGATGTTTATAAATTTTTGAAAACTATCAATTTTTACATGTTTATAAATTTTTGCATTTAACATAAAATCTTTTTAAAAAGTTTAATAGTCAATGTGAAATTATTGTGTTATTTGTATATTGGCTTGAATAAAATATCAAAATTGTATTATAAAATAAGTTAATAACACTGTTGTAAACTTAAATCATGAATTTAAAATATTATTGAACTAGGGTAGACCCGCCCTACGGACGGGATATAATAATACAAATTACTTTATATGTTTAATTTATTTTTAATTGAAATTAAAATAAAATTTTATCTTTACTGAAACAGTTTATCTATTTCTTTGACTATTTATTATATAATTCCTAAATTGATTGATTATTAAAAGTTTATAGAAATTTTATATTTGTTTGAATCTTAAATATATTACTATTATGTTTAAAAATAAAATAAATCACATAATCTAGGTAACTCATGATTATAATTTTAAAAATAAATGGTACTTGGCAATTAGCGTAGTATAATTCTTACAATTTATGAAATATATAATTAATTTATTATATTAACTAACAAATTTTTATTATATATTTCTGTCATGTATGGAGATTATTATTTTTAAACACTATATATTGTTAGATAATTAAGATTATTAGAAGGAGAACAAATTTGCGTGTAACTATTGATTTATTGTTTGAATGTCTCCATGGTGTGTTTCAACATACTACCTTTCTACCTTTATCTTTTATCTTAAGATTATTTTGTAACGTATTTATCGCACTCTCAATTTAGTTTGTGGTTGTTGAATTTATCGGATAAGCTGCGATATTTTAAGCTATGTGATTTTTTAGTTCAATAATTGCGAGAAACAAATTATTAAATTAATTTCAATTTTATTTTAGACTCTTGAACCTTAAAATATGTTGTTTAAATAAATAAATAAACCAATTTTTTAATCTGTTTGCAACAAATACATGTGACATCGGATTTCATGTATGGATGACATGTATACTTAGCTTTGACATTTAAATAAGTCACTATGTAAATTGATAGTTTAATAACCTTAACCCCATGGAGTGATATATTTAAAGAAAATAAAAGCGACTTTGGTAGAGCAATGTGTGAAATGAGCGTTTCTAGCATTGGTTCATTTTGGTTGTGCTTATTCTCCATCCAAACATTTTGAACTATGCATGACTGATCTATATCTCATCCCTGAATATATCATTATGTCCATATTCATAAATATCATTGCCATACACTTCAATTGTTGTGTGTAGATGTTGTAAGCCTTACTATGTGTTTTTATTATGTAAGTAGTTTTGAATTCATCAGACATAGTGTGCCTCAGTGTCTATATCTAGCTTGTGTTCGGTGATTCATCATTGGGCTCCCATTTAATTGTATGTATTAGAGTAGCGGCGGATATTTGGAGACGATGCTTGCTTGGTGTTAGTTTATTCATCTATGTTTTGCAAATCAACTTTTCAATATAACCATCTAGCCAATAGCCCTTTTACAGCTTTTGGTATCAATATATTTTATTTTTTTAAGATATAGATCATAACAAAAGCTAATATGACAATTCAATTCTCAAGAGTACATTAATAAAGAGAGAAAGTGGAAAATTCTCAAGATTACATCAAATAATAAAAATCACAGATGGCTGATTTACACTTATATCTTTAAATCAAAAGCCTGGGTTCTTCTGCTCGAAGGCCACAAACAGGTCGAGTTGGATGAAGAGCAGCGAAGATGTCGTCAAACTGTAGCTAAAAACACGAAAGAGTCAAATCCAATGTGAATAAGAAAAAAAAAGCTTGTAGATAACATTCACAGCCTTTAACTGCACGCTATCTAGATAATCAACGTGACAAAATTATTCAAAAACTATTATCTCACCTCGTCATCTTCTCAGATTACCTGCCAATTGATAATATAGGTGCTGCAATTTGCAATCTTCCTCACACTTTTTTTATTTGTCACATATAGACTGAGAGGAATAAATATGATAACACTTGTTAAAGAATCTAAATTCAAACTAACTGTAGCCAAAAGGTGTGAAAGCTGCAGAACAATAAGAATGAACATATGTCTAACTTGTCGTTTATATTATGTCGTACAATAGAGAAATCAAGGTCATCTTTGGGACTGCAGCAGTTTTGTAAACCAAGTTAGTATGCATATCCAGAAATTTCAGTGATAAAAATCGATTATGAGATTATTCTAAACAGTAGAATAAAAAATCACCTTGTTAGTAAGTCAGGCTCCATCTCAACACCTAACTGATTCCTTTGAAAAGTCTCTCAAACTGTTTCACAAAGATGTCAAACAAAATGTTCATATCTTTAACAAAGATTTCTTCCAGATATGTGAATAAAACAGAATGCCCCAAGATACTACATATATACCAAATCATGTTCCAAATAAAAGCTGGTGCACCATTTAGTTTTATTAGCTTATGCCCTTCACTCTATCAAACAATAACTTGAGTGAGATTGAAATCCTAAACTTGTTTTATTCTAAAAAGTGAACAAAGTATTCTTAGACAAAAAAAAAACACACCTGTAACTGTGCAAACTAAGCAATGGGATCAATGTCAGTATCCATTATAATCATGCTGTTGTGTGCAAGCATAACCTGTTTTTTGCATTTAGAAAATATCAGTTAATCTGGAAAATATAACAGTGCAATAATAGATATGGACATTGGTAACTAAATACCTTGATAAGAGATGAACTTTTTTTCTTAATCGCCTCAACCTTCTATACGGCAAGGTATTAAGATCTTTTTGTGGGAACTTGATTCTTGCTAAAAAAAGATATTCCTAGAGACTGCCTTCAGAAGAAACCTGACACAACAAAGTTCTTGTTAGTGTAAAGACAATTCAATAAATTAAAATCATAATTTATTAAAAATTTACCTGAAACATAGTCTCCTAAAGTGCTTCAATAGCATTCTCCAGCGTCCAAGACAGTTCAGTGTCCCAAGCAATAGTTGCAGCCAACATTGACCTTCCACTAAACTCATTAAATTCAACATGCGTTTGCATCAGCCAATTTACAAGAAGCATACATATTACTCAAAAAAAACTCTTCTTCCAGAAAATCAGTTCAAGGAGTCAAACTTTAAAGTACCTGAGGCACAAAAAAGTAATATGCACCAAAGGGTTCCTATTCCACAGAGATTTTGCCTTTTGGATCAAACTGCATGCCTCCATAGGAACGAATAGAAGTGAGAACCAATTTAAATGGTAAAGCTAATACCTTAACTTCAGATGGATGTCCAGTCATCGTGAGAGAAGGGGTCAAGGTGGCGGAAGAACGCTGCAGAAACGATACCGGCGACGCTTACCAGGTCACGATCAAATGAGCCATTGTTACTATTCCCATTCTTGTTGGCCAAGTAGACGTCGCTACGATGAGAGAAAAATCAGCAAGGATGAATCTCGTCCCTCATCGTGGTTGTTTGATTAATAGAACTAATCACGAAGAAGTGATAACTCGGACCGTTTCAGAGATAATGGTGAAGATCAAGAGTCACTGTATAACGTAGAGGAAAGACGAACCCTAAACTCTATTTCTTTGCGTCTCCTCAATACAATTAGGGTTCTTCCATGGAATGGGCCATCGAGCTGCATACCCGCATCATTATTAGCCCAAAAACTCAAGATTGGACGCTATACATATGAAGCCCATTAAACCAAGATTTTAAATGAAACTGTGCGCTTAAGTCACATCCGACACGTGTCGCAACGACAATCGCCGACTTTCTGACGTGGATGTTGAGGTGGCACGTCCCAGGATGGGGTAAACACTCTTTTATATACTAAGATGTTAGTTTAAAACTGAAACCATTTTAAGTATTTTTTGATAGTGCAATATTGAATTGAGTAAAAACAAATTTGATAATACATAACATAACATAAATTATCGTACAATATATAATATTATAGTTCATGAACATATTTGTTTATTCTGTTATATTGCTTTAATTTTATTTTTTATCACTTTTACGTTTCTTTTAGAATGTTTAAAAAAATCAAGTTTTTGAGGAAATAAATGCATAATTAATTTTATGAAAGTACCTGTTTAGTTATGTTGAATTAATATGACATATAAATAATATTGAACCTCAAAATTATGTTTTAAAATGTGCAGTCATCATTTTATTTTTGTTTCTAAAGGTATCTCTCAGTATGATAATTGTGAAAAGAATGTTACTATAATACTTTATAGTTGATAAGAGACCATATCTTTAAACATATAATTTAGTGTGAAAGGTTATTGAAAATGTTAAAAGTTATTTTTTTGTCTAGATGCTAAATGTAAAA